ATTGTACAAATTGGCATACTACGACACAGCCCGGTCGTGAATTTCCATGTTTGGTTTCACAGATTCACATCTTTTAAAGAGAAACAGCTTTTTGTCCCAAAATGGAGCTTTCCTATAAGGTTTCAAAGTGCAGAATACCCAAGCCATACAGTATATATATATATTTGTAAGCAGACAGATGGGTGACACATGTTAAACATTTTCTGGCTTCTTTCTCAGCTAATTTTCCCCAAAGTACTAGATTTACATTGCACATGTGAACAGTGGCAATAAAAATGCAGTTTTAAAGATTCTAATTTTAACTGATACACATTTCTCTATTCTTTAATTCTCGTTATTTTTAGTCACGCTTCTTATGTTTTATATATTTGAACAATTTATTGGAAAAATGAGAATTCTATCTATAGTAAGATTTAAAACACTGGTGGAAATTTGTAGCACACAAGGCTTAAGCATTTCAAGTATTTCATGTTAAAAATCTGATAAAATTATGGTAACTAACTCAGAACTAGATGTCCACTTTCAAAATGGAAAAGCCAAGTTTAGTTCTGAAAAAGTTTACGATTGTATTGGTGACATTTTAAGAGAAACTGATTAATAGCCATTTTGTAGACAGTTGGAATATAATAGCAAAATAAATATCAACATCAGTGGTGCCTCAATATAACACAAATATTTAAAGAAAAATATTGTTAACTGTAGCTGGAATGAATTATATGGATCTTCTATGAAAAGCAATTTAGAGGTATAGTGTTAAATTAGGCTATTTCATTTATAAAATTGAAGAATCTAGAGAAAATGCCTTATGAAAGATTCTCTTTCAGAAACTGTAACATTTATAACAATGCAAAGTAACAATCTTTTATCACACCTAAAGAATCTAACCATTTCCTGTTCTCTGACCTTTAGATAGTGAATATATGGAGAAAAATCTCTTATTATTTGATCCACTTTAGTCTCTTTTTTTAGAAGGACTTTTAATAGAAATAAAAGGAAATAATAAAGCAAGTGTTAACCTTTATTTGAACTGTCTGTTGCTATTCTAAGAAAGTATCCTCTGAAAAGCAAAAAAATGTAACACAGTTATTTTCTCTATGTAATAATATTGCATTAGTACCAGTTATTTTGAATTACGGCATCAGTTAACAATTAGGAATCTTGCCATAAATACAATACCTAATATATCTATAAAAAGAATTATATTTTAAAACATTACTATAATATAAATGATTTTGCTTAAGCTATTTTGTGTTTTCCTTTTCTCCAAAAAACTACTGCTTTTCTTACAATAACTTTAACATCCTTTGTAAAGCATCAGATGACTAAAGTAGTGCTAGAATCATGCTCTCAAAGTTATATAGTGCTACAAACAAATGATTGAGGCCTATACTTCCACAGAGGAGAGAGACAAAATAGAAGCATTTAACTTTTTAATTTAGGATAGGGTATATTTTAAGGGTGTTGATTTGAAAGGTATCTATGAGGGCCAAGAAAACAAATAACTAATGAATTCAGTGAACTTGCCAAAACTGAAGTGTGACATATATACCCAGCCTAAAAGCCCTTTTAAAAATATTATTTTATACTTGGATATTCAAAATTATCAGTGAATCTGAAATGCTATAGTAAAAGATTATTTAGTTTTGAACTGCATAAACAGCACCAATCTGTTATAATTATGGGTGGTTTTTGGACTTATTTCCAATCCCTTTCAACATGTTAGCTCTGTTTATGTATGGGTGTATATGAGAATCCAATTATGACAAATGCAAATATCTGAGGATTTTATCAGGGAAGATGTTCATGTGTTTTTTCTGTGATCTGTGTAGGTCCCCTCCCCCCCCAAACTCGGTGTGTTGAATGTATGTGTTTTTGTTGTATGGGTACACTGTGAGTTATAGGGTTTGCATATACTGTACTCTGAGTCTGATGATCCATAGACAGAATGGAGAAGAACTTAGAATGGAGCTGTTGGCAGCATCCCTAGCTGTTACCTCTCCCAAAGGGATGCAGTGGGAAAGCTTCTTCTGGATAGCCTATTTCTGAACTCAAGCTTTCTTCTGAATTTGGTTCCTTTCTGTTTTTTTTTTTGTTTTTGTTTTTTTGTTTGGAGAAGTCTCTTGCTCATGGGCGAGTCCCAATTTTTTAGAATAAAATATTTCTAACTGAAAAGAAAAGCTGAACATTTCTTCAAAATGCTACTCTTGATGAAGATTATACTCAACGTGACTACCATCTGTCACACAGGATTTTCATTCATAACAAGAAATTACATCATCCAAATCCCTTCCAACTTGTAAACATTCTTCCTGAACTATATGTCCAAAACTAGTCTACTTTAAATGAATTAATGCACAATACCTTAAGCACTTATAGTGAGTGAGAAAAATGTTTGCATAGGTGGCAAGCCAGCAACCATTCATATGTTCAAAGCTGCATTTCTTTCCAAATCCACCATCATAACAATGGTTATTGGATCACTTACAAACACAATTCCAGATTATGAAGCATTTCTTTAACTACTAGTTCCACTCATTCGCACAATTTAATTATATGAACCAGCCCTCAGTTGTTGTTTTCCATAAAATGTTGCATTGCTGAGCTGTTCAGCAATGCAACACTGCCTTGGGAAGAGATGGATTCTCCTTAGCTGGAGAAGTTGAAACAGATGTCAGATAACCTATCAAAGATCTTCCATCGAACAGTGGGTTACATTAGATATCTCTAAGGTTCAACCTGTTGCAACCTTTGCATTCTGTGATCTAGGAATACTAAAATTGAGAATACAGAACTTTTAACAAAAGTTAAAAAGATATGTTAACTGTAAATTTATAAATATATTGCTTCCTTGGTTGCCTAAAGCAAATGGCAATTTATTTCAGGTAACTATGGGGAGGCATTTTTAAAATGAGAAGAGTAAGCTTGAGTTTTAAGACTCTAATAAAGTATTTCATTCTATGAACAAAAAACATTCTTATCTGTATATAACACAAAACAATTATATGAACAATTCTAGATAAGCCTGGAAGTTGTTCTTTCTACTGTATTCTGTAGTCATGAATGAATGAATGAAATAACTTTCTAACTCACCTTAATTTAGCATAAGACTAACTTCAAGAACAGTTTACCTATTATTTATTTTTAAAAAGCCAAGTTAAAGGCACAGTAATACAAAGGTGGCTTGTCTTGTGGACTGGGTGCTATAACAAATTTCATAAGCGAAGTTGAATTCAATAATATTTTACAGTTAAGATTTGGACTCAAAACTTTTGCATCTTTAACAATTATAACAGAAGGTGCAAGGGGAGGGAAGAGACCAAAGTTGATAGGAAACAGTGATGTATTCAGCAGCATTATGTCTAGATGAGGACATGGGTAGACAGACAGAAGAAAATTATGGTAGTAAAATATTTACAAACCTACAGCTTCGTATGTTACTATGACTGCAGAGTAGAAAAAGGTCAGGTTCATATATAATACTAAAACAATTTTAATATAATAAATAAAAATGAGCTATCATGAACTTTGGCTCTTACTTCTTTGTGAAAAAAAAAGAAATTCAAGAGTTTTCATGTTATTCAAAAGTGTGTAAGTTTAATTCACTTGCTTAAAGCTAGTTAATTTAATCTGTAGTTCAGTAATTTGGTTTGTCTTAAACTAAAATAGTAAATGTCAGTTAGTTGATAGTATTGTCAGGCAAAAGAAAGGGGGAACAGGAAAAAAGTGCATGTCCTAGATGCTGTTTCTCCAGAGGCTCACAGCTTGGTTTTCTCCCACTCAATACATGTAAAACAACTAAGTGTGCAAAGGGTGGAAAAGCATGTTTGTTTAGAACCGGGTCCAAATGTTCTTTGAAATTTCTTCATCAGAGAAAGTGGGTGGGCTATTTCTCTTTATTTCTCCAAATTCAGGAAAACTTTTCCAATTGTATCTCAAGAGCAGGATTCTGATGGTATCACTATTATTCTGTTATGGATCTTCCCTTGGAATTTAACAGAAGCATAGAAAATTAAGTAGATTGCAAGCCACTGAAGTGATTATTGTACAGTGACGGACCGAGCAATCTGGGTGTATACTTTGCATAACTTATAATAAAGTAGTGCAAGAATACCACATGCCATTCTTGAGGATTAAAAAAAAAATGAAAGCAGTTTTAAATCCTCTTTCATTAAACTGACAGAAAAATGAATGAAGAACGTGTTTGCTCTACCAATACTATCTGAAGAACCATCTGATGGTGGAAGCACCAAATAGTTAATGATATCCAACTACTAGCTAATGCAGAATTGGGGGTGGGGGTAAAGCCTGGCATGCTTTTGTGAATCAAAGATTATTCTGACAGTGTATTGCTGTATACTGTCAATGTAGCATCTGTAATTACTAGGGAAAGGGAACTGGGGGCATGAATGTATAGAATTGCTTTGATTCAATGCTAATCTTTTCAAATATGGGTATGAAATGCTAATTAGATATTGAGTATGTGCTGAAATGCAGATGCTGCAGGCTTTCACTCTGGTTAGATAATTTGTGAGTGGGGTTCCTGCTGGAATATGTCTGAGCACATTTGTTCTTTCCTTCTGCTATTACTAACAGAAAATGTTTAGCAGGAAATGAGTCTTCAGAGAAGATGTGAACAATTGGAAGCTATTCCATCTTCTGAAGCTGTATTTGTTTCTTAGATACTACTTGAACCCTCTAGTTTAATGGAGTACCATTCAACATTAAGTTAGTTCTTAGCAAAACTGAAGCTATCTATGATCTCTGAGAGATGATCAATTTGATATATTGCATATTACATGATAGAAGAGCATGTGATTTATTTAAGCTTGTTTTACCTAAAAACAAACAAACAAACAAATAAATAAATAAAGTAAAATAAAGTAAAGTAAAATAAAATAAAATAAAAATATTCCTAGCCGTATGATATGAGCCTGAGATTTTGTTACAGCTCATTTATGCTTACACATTTTATGCAAAAAAATTATTTCACTTGTTCTTACCTGTGTATACAGTTTTTGGATTCAAGATACGCCATCCCAGCAGCAACATCTAATGAGAATTTCACCAACTGTTTGGTTTTTAGCTCATCCTTTTTCTTTCTTAAAAAGGAAAGAAAATCACCTCCTAGAGAAATAGACAGATAAGCAATGAGACATGACAGGGTGATATTTCTATTTATCTCTCATTAGTGATGCTTGACTGAACAGGAGGCAATGTACTCTCTGCTGTGCTTTTCAATCAATCTGATGGTTGAGTAAAAAGAATAAATGAAAATATAAAGATTATAATTTAATTAATACTAACATTTTAAAAACTATTTTAGATATATTTCAAGATGAACTCTGCACATTGTATAGAAGAATTAAGCAGAACCCTATGCATATTTATTTATATAAAAAAAATCTATCCTGCACTTTCTTCATTGAATTCAATTCCAAAGTTAGGTCATTTCACTTAAAAAGAATTTACAGTAAGCTACAGTAAGCACAGGACATGTCTACTATCTCTTAGCTGATATGTAAACACAGAGAAAATGCTCTGCTGTCTCATTATTCTGATTATTGGAAATGATGTGTGCTAGTTACATAATGCTTTTTAAGAATGGCATGGAACATTGGGGGGGGGGGTTGCATTAAAGTAATCCATAAAAAGTAACAGAATGGGAACTTGTGTACTTATGAAATAAGAATATTTCTCATATCATATCTGGAAAAATTATACTATCTGGAGCAACTTTTTTTCCCCTTCTAACCACAGAATTACGAAGCTTCCTATTTGATCAAGATGCAAACCTCACACAGCTATTTTCACTTGTGCAGATGAATTTGAATAAAATATTTCAGACATCAGTTTGCGACACTCTATTGTGGCTCTGTACAGAACACATTCTCCCGGGAAGATCTAAATTTGTATGTCTAAAATAACAATTTAAATTATAGTTTGGGAATTTATTTGCATTTTTATCCTACTGCATCCCCTGAAAGCTCATTAAGATCAGAGGGAAAAAACTGATATGAGAATTATCAAATACAATGGGGTTTTATTTTATAGAATCCATTTATTAATATATGCCTGAAATTCAAGATCTTACACAGCTTAGCCCCAGGATAGATCACAGCAGGGGTAAGTAAACTGTAGCTTATATATGCCTTCCAGCATCTGCAGAGCCGCTAAAATTTCTGTTCTATCTTATTTTACAACTAAGAAGCAAAATAGTCTTCAATGAGACTTAAGGGTCTTATTTTACTTAAACTGCCAAAAGGGAAGAATTCTAATTTTAGATACCATATCTTCATGTTCTCTGCAGCACCCATAGGGTTCAAAATTAAATTAGAAATGCATTCCCAAAAGGGAAAAGGGGGTGCCTTCCCTGCTTTAAAAAAAGGCACGTGCAAATAAATATACATATATTAGTAGGAATCAGAAAATCAGCATAGGCATTATTTTCCTTATACAAAGATTTGCTTTTTAACACAAAATATTGCAAACTGCAGAGATGTGCTTATTTATTATATGAAATCATTAACAACTGTCTTCATATAAAACTGGCATGAGTATGAGAGGGATTAGCTTAATTACCAAATCCTGAAAATTTTACCAAGTATTCCAAAGAACCAGGCTTCCATACTTAGAAAGACTCAAGATATCATGACTTAATTACACGCTGTTTAGTTAAAACTTTCAAGAAAACAAACTGCCCTATTAAACCCTATCATTGTTTTCTCACCTATATTGTCTACCACAGATTATATGGTTCTAATTTATGACTTCAGTAAAAGTGCTATCACATTTATGAACCAGATTGAAAACACTGGAGAGTAGTACATAAAATTCAGCCCATCATTAGTCACTTAAATAATAATAATAATAATAAAAAAAATCCAAAGTGCTTTTACACAGTCTCAAGTGTGTAATTATGTGCTTCTTTAGAAAATGGATGTGAAAATAAGTGTTACAGTTGTAGACTACATTTACATAAAATATTTTATACTCCAATAGCCATAAACATGGTTATAGTCAAGCCCCTAAATATAAGTTATACATGGGATTAGATGAATTTATTTATACATAGATTTAACACCTTACTAATACATTCATATTACTCAAGGTGATTTCCAATAGTTTAAACAGCAAACTAAATCAGCAAAAATAAAACCTGATGAAATTAGGCATAAGGGATCCTACAGCCACTACTCTCTAATCATCTGTTATTTGTTCTTTGATGATAATAAACTGAGGCATTCTTCTCAAGCTTTTACATCAATCTTGTAAAACTTCCCCAAATCATCCTAAGACCAAGTTCTATTTAAAATGTGTAACCTATTTGGCAGAACATTTTGAAAGATCTTTTTTCTATTAAATAATGCTACATCTTCCTCATGTTCTGAGCAATTAGGTCATTCTAGAAATAATGTAGTTTATATGATATTCCCTTCCCTCTACAACTCCCATTGCCACCTTCCATTGTGGAGATTCTTGGTAAAATGAGAAATATGGATAGCGATAATCAGAAAAATATATTCTCCTATACAGTCAAAAGAAAAATTTCACTAGATAAATAAACAAATAAGATAGAAAGAATCTTGACATAGGAAGACATACTTTCCAAATAAGTCAACAGGACAAATGCACTTGTACAAGCAGAAGGAATTGCTTGGTTTCATTCCAATACCAGCTCTCACTCTCTCAAAATTTCACTTAAGGATACAAAAATCTAAGACATATGTTTTAAATAATGGAGAATATCTTGTTTGAGAATGGTACTTGTGAAAAAATGATTAAATTGGTTAGAAACTGAATGTAAGCCAGATGTGTGATAAAACTATTAAGAAAAGCAAATGCAAATTTTAGGCTACCAGAAGAATTATTTCTAAATCTTACAAGGTGATTATCATTTTTCTATTTTGCTATTTTTAGTTCTGAGCACTTGAAAGAGTATTGTAGAAACTGAAATAGGTTTGGAAATGAGCAACAAGGATAATCTGGAGACTAGTAACTATAACACCTTTCAAATTTCTGAAATTATGCCATACAGGAAAATGGTAAAGTATTTTTAAAAATGATTTAATTAATTTATATGGCTGCACATCTCACAACAATGACTGACATACAAAAAATAAAACCAACTATTTACAAGCAACATTCCATGATGCTTGAGATAAATAATATATTTCACTCATAAAGTTACATTAACAGCAGAGTTTGCCTAACGACCTGGGGAAAGAGCCAGGTCTTCAGAGCCTTATAAAAGGCTAACAAGTTTGAAACCATCCATATTTCTGGGGGTGATGCTATTCCATAAGCAGGCACTGCCACAAAGAAGGCATGACTCCTGGATCCAACAAGATGACATTATTTATAGAAGAAACTTGAAACATGTCTTCTCTACTAGATCTGGTGGGATAAACAGAAACAATGGGAGAGAAACAATCCTACAAGTAGCCTGGCCCTATGGTCCCCATCTTGTTGATTTTCTGAAAGACTAAATGTGGTCTTGTCAGCAGGCCTGGGAATCCCAAATGGAGATGGACTGATCTAGTGGTTGGTTCAATTCAGTTGCTGCTGTCATATGTGTGGGTAGTTTTTTCTGGTTTCTAGGTTGTGGATTTTTAATGTTATAAGCTACCCAGAGTCATCTGTGAGTTGGATGGCCATATACATTTGTTTAATTTACATACATACATACATACATACATACATACATACATACAAAAATATAGGGCTTTATAGTGGCAACCAGCATCTTTCATTGCACCTCACAAAGCAGCAATGTTATATGAATGTAGGAAGAAATGCAAAAACTGTTCATGGCATTGCATTCTGAGACAGCTTGTGATTGTTCTTCAAGGTCAGCCCCACAGAGGGTCTAAAGTAATTCAAGGTCTTCTTTTCAAAGCTTACACTAGTTTATGATTTTGAATTGTTTTAGAAGTATAGTTCAATTATGCACAATTAAACATACTATCTGTAAATTTCCCTGAATTTATAATATTTTGATGTTTGAACTTTAAAATGATTGTCATTCATATTCTCTCTATCTCATTGACCTTGCTCTATGGATTTGTGTACTGATTGCTGAATGGGTGGTTCAGTTTCTTGAATGCCTGATTTGATTTCAGGCAGTTAAGCAACTCTGTTTAGTACAGCGGTTCTCAACCTGTGGGTCGCGACCCCATTTGGGGTCGAACGACCATTTCACAGGGTCGCCAAACAACGCGATCCGCCATTTTTTTCCTCAGCTGTGCAGGGGGCGGCGCCACGCCTGCGCACTGTGCAGGGGGCAGCGCTGCGCATACTCGCTGCACAGGGGGCGGCACATGGGGGCGGTGCCGCGCATGCGTGCCGCGCAGGGGGGGTGCCACACATGCGTGCCGCGCAGGGGGCAGCGTCGCGCATGCACGGCGCCTCCTTATGACCGGGGTCACCGGTATAAAAAGATTGAGAATCACTGGTTTAGTAAGTCAGAACACATTAGACTGCAACACAGAGCCTGGCTATAGACAATGAATTTGGTGGTGCATTCTGGATGTAAGCAGATAAGTTTACCAGATGTTATCTTTGTATTTGTTCAACAAAGTCCTAGCATTTTGAGCAAATAGAAAATAAATTAAAAACATACAAATTATATAGTCAGTTATGTAATATTTTTAAAGGAAACCATTATTTGTTTAGTTCCTAATAATTAGTGACTAGTCAATAGAAATAGATCACTTTTAAATAATATCATTTTTAAGACAGAACAATCTTGAACTATAAAGAGTAAAAATAGAACTCAAAATCTACAGAACAAAGAAAGAGAACACTTCTATATAGTACCAAATGACTGAAAGAACTACTGTAAATATAATGATTTGAAGTTAAGTGCTTTGATTAAAGCAGTGCCAAGCCCAAAGAAAAACTTAAGATTGAGGATGAGAATCAAAAATAATCACAGAAATCATAATAATTAGCATAGTTTTTCTGCAGAAGAACTGCTTGACTTACAAACACTTGTAGATATTTTTAGCGTTAACTGAATGTTTATAGACCATTCATTTGTATATCAAGTTAGCAAATACCAAAAGTGTTAAAATAAGATTTCCCATTGACTTATATACCATTAAAATCTCCATTGCTCACGTTAT